TGTAATCTGGATGTTCTATTTAGCTATAACAGTTTGGAACGCAAACATAGATGTTCTATTTACTACTAATAGCTATAACTGTTGGGAACGCAAATATTGAAGTTCTATTTAGCTATAACCGTCGGACGACGGCATCACATTAAATGATGCTGAAACGAACCCGTTTTCAATTAAATAATACTTTGAATTATCTCCTTTCCAATCAAGTCTAACTATACAGCTTAAATCCTGTATTTTACGAATTCATTTTGTATTCCAATTAAGTCAGCAGGTACGTTGGTACCTAGTCTAAATTGCACGATAAAACTTAACGATGAAGGACTATTGAGCGTGCTGTTATTGTAATGGTTACAAGTCCACAACCACGATCAAATTTTCATTTAACATTTTATAGACATATTTTTTTTTTCCCCTTTTAATCCACACTTATCGGGAACCATGCTTAATTCAGAACCGTGCCTAGGGCAATTTTACATTCTTGGATACGCGGAGACTACCCAGAACCGTGCCCAACCCCAACCCTAGCCTTAACCTTTCAGGTATAGAAATAGATAGGCACGGTTTGCTGGATACGTAGTACATACAATGCCTTCCTAGTCGAAATGGCGTATAACATGTAGCGACAATACCTCCCACAGGACTTTGTATGATTGATTTCGCAGATCTGGCAGGGCCTTAGCTTGATGATTGAGGGTTAGCGGCTCTCGATATATCATCCCTTCCATCGATCCGTCACATAGATACGAATCGCGGGTGGGCTTCTGGGGTTCGGGTTTGGCAATTAGATCCTCGTTCGATCAATACGGCAGACCTCGGTGGGTTTGAAGCATTGCCAAGTTTGTCTAGAATTAATGAATGAAACCTTGACAAGTTTGCATTCCTCGTTTTTAACTTGTGGATAGTTGATATGGGACTTCTTTTGTGGAAGGATCAGGTTTGGCAATATTAGATCTTCGTTCTATCAATACGGCAGACTTATAATAATAATAATAATGGTTTATTCTCCACATTCTTACGGTACAGCGTCGCAGGGTTCCCGTAAAAGGGGCCCTGAATTGATCTGCCGCTTACAATCGATAAAATGTGACGGAGGTATACATGTAAAGCTTAAAACTTAAGACGGTACAAGTATTACATTTCCACATAATTTTGCCTTAGTCATACAAGTTTTAAAATGGTATTTATACTGGGGTAAATAGGTATAAAAAAAGGTTAGGCACTTATCTTAATGACTTAGTATTTATATTAAAATCTATTAAGGCGCAATAAAAATAACTATGTATTTACATTTAGGAGCGTAATTTTACATGTCACATTTCGAGCATAATATGCGGTTCAGCGATAGGCGACAAAAGTGCATTCTGATCGTGTTCTCTAGAGGTTAATCAGAGGTCCTTGTTTAGTAGTCGCACTATATGTGGTATTGTACTGTTCTTAAAACGTTCTGTTCTGGCTCTGACAGTGTTTAGTTGATTTCCATGTCTCGTGTGGCGGTTACTTATCTGCCCTCTGGACGGTGGAAGCAAGCTACGGAATTGGTTGTTGGTGAGCAGTTTCCTTCCGAACTGGATGCACAAGTGTTCCCGTCTTGTTGCAAGTGATTGGAGTCCAAGCTGAGCACTGACTTCCGCGTAGTCGGAGTACATGTTCCCGAGGATGATTCTGAGCGCCCTTTTTTGGACAGATTCGAGCTGTGACTGGCGCTCTGTTAGGCCTGGACTCCAAACCGGAGCCGCGTATTCCAACACCGGTCTGATGTACGTTGTGTACACTACCACCATGTCGTCGATCGGTAAGCTGAACTGTTTCAAGCGTCTCAGGAGGAAGAGGCGTTTACTGCTTTGTTTGATCATGTGTGTAACATGGGTGTTCCACTTAAGGTCAGACTGGATCCATACTCCGAGCAGTTTTGCACTGTTCACTGATTGGAGAGTGTGACCATCGATCTGCAAGGCCGGCAAAGGGGGAGGGATTTTGGTGAAGTGGAAGTGGACCACCTTACATTTGTTGGGATGGAGCTTCATGAAGCTTTCGTTTGTCCATTTATCCATCTCGTTCAGGTCATGCTGCAGTGATGACTTTGCACGTATATGTCTTGTTTCAATCATGTTAAGGTCATCAACAAACTTCCATTGATGTGATGTTGCGTTCAGTGCTGCACTATTGATAGTGGCGATGAATACAATTGGTGCGAGAACTGTTCCTTGCGGAAGGCCACATGTCAACACTTCCCAACCCGAGAGCGATCCCTGGTACAGGACGCGTTGTCGTCTGCTGGTTAAAAAGTCACACAACCACGGTATCAGTGATGGTCTGCAACCAAGGTCAAGGAGTCTTGTTATTGCGACCGTGTGGTCAACACGGTCAAATGCTTTTGAAAAATCCGTAAGCACGAGGCTGCTCACCGTGCCGGGGTGATCTGAATTCTTGTACAACAGGTGCATTATATCCACTAGGCAGAGTGTGGTAGATCGCCCTGGTAATCCTCCAAACTGTTTGTCGTCTATGTTGGGAGCTATGTCTGCTGACTTTGGTGGCTTTGAAGCATTGCCAAGTTTGTCTAGAATTAATGAATGAAACTTTGCCAAGTTTGTATTTTTCACTGTGGTAGTTGTGGATAGTTGATATGGGACTTCTTTTGTGGAAGAATCAGGTTTGGCAATATTAGATCTTCGTTTGATCAATACGGCAGACCTTGGTGGGTATAAAACTCTGCCAAGTTCGTGTAGAATTAATGAATGAAACCTTGACAAGTTTGTGTTTCTCAGAATTGTGAAAGGAGATCTCGATAATTCATGCGGGATTTTTTTTTGTAAAAGATCAGGTTTGGCAATATTAGATCTTCGTTCTATCAATACGGTGGACCATGGTGGGTACGAAACTCTGCCAAGTTTGTCTAGAATTAATGAATGAAACTTCGACAAGTTTGTATATCTCATTGTTAGTGATCACTGATAGCGATTTTATAACTGATTGATTTTTTAAATGATGTAAAATTATCATTTAGAACGTATTTGTACGCATTCGCTTGGAATCGGCAGTTTTCAAACTTGAAGCCAGAAACTGTTACTTGCGTTAAAGCTTTAATCCTCCCTGTTTTCCAATATCAATACTAGTATCAAGTTTGAGAAAGACCTTGGTTTGAGGGATCACTTTTCAAGACCGTGATTTCCACTTCTGCACCGATAACACTTTACTTCCACTTCCTCTCGGTTACACTATTTCCCCATTGATTTCCTGCTACTCTATTTTATTACAACTACGGAAACAACAAACCATCCTTACCCGGAGGTACTAGTAATGCAAGCCAGCCAGAGTCCCTGGGGTAGCTGACGTCCGCAGTACGTCACACTCTAGATGGAGCATTCAGAAGAGTCGTGATTTCGTGTTGATTGGTTGTACTGAAAGCTGTATAAACTTCCAAGGGTTCCTACTGTTAATTTTAATTGGATTTTTACCAGCTCGGCTGCATACGTAAGTGACATACAAGAAGGTCTGCCCAACTAGGCATGCACAAATAAGGTAACAGTGCGCGAAACAAGATAAAAATTATGGGAGTCGGTATCTACTAAGTTTGAATAATCTTGTGTTATCTAGCACATTGTTTAATCTTCTTGGTAATACCAATGTCGACAACATGCGTAGTTTCTTTCATCAACCCAACAACATACAGGTATCGTATTTTTGTAATTGTATTTCTGTGTACTATATACCACGCAACTGCTGTTAGTTCTTTTCATTTATTCATACCATTACATTTATGTACGCTGTACACTTAAAACCTTACGTGCCATGTGTCTACTCCAAAGATGTTTTTCTCAGCTCTTGACAGCATTCAAACAGTTCTGCCGCCAAACAGCATAGTGATCGATGTAGTAATCCTCTTACACTTGACGTACTAAGCGCGGTTTTGAACAATGACAATGACATTGACTGATATCGGTAGCCAGGACTTAATGCCACTTGTCCCCGCACGCCTCTTTGGACAATATTGATTTCCAAACGATGTTGTTTTAACAATTAAAGGCCTACGTGTAGTAGGACGTGTTTGCACAGTCAGTGGGGTCAAAAACCTGGGTTGGTGAGAGCTCAGGCTGTAAGGTAACGTTAGGTCAGTTACCGGAGTATAGCCTGGCAGTTGGGCCGGGTTCTCTTCGGGGCTATAGGAGCTCTTACCCCGCCCTACTCAGCTAGGTTCCCCGCTTGAGCTGGACGAGGGGAAAACAATCAGAACCCCAAATACAGCTTGCCCCAGAGTAGCCTGTGAGGTAACGGGAGGTCAGTTAACGTAGCAACCCTATATCCTGATGTCCAGTCTATCGTGATTGGGGTGGGTTCTCTTCGGTGCTATAGAAGCTCTTCCCCGCCCAACTCAGCTAGGGTCTCCGGTAGGAACTCACCGCCACCCAGTGCTAGCTATATATAGGGTGGCGGACAGGGAGAGGCGCCCCTGCCCATTGAGGAGCTAGAAGTCTGCGTCTGTAGACTACGCACAACAAACAAACAAACTAACACACTAATAACATGCGAGCGACCACCCCATCCATTACCCCTACCCCCACCGTGCCAGAGTTGAGGTTGCCCATGTATTGGGAAGAAGATGAAGGCTAGCAAAGCACTCCAAACGAACGGCCAGTCTAGCTAGACGGGGGAATTAAAATTATTAGAACCCCGAAGGCTGCCCTACCTAAGATAGTCTGGGAACTAGGCTATGGGCAACGCCACTAGAAGCCGGATATAGTAGCCCGTCTGGTAGCGGAGGGATCGGACCATGTTTACTCATGTTCTTAGTCGAACCGGCGAACACACGTGCACCAAGGTCAGCGTTCTTTTTCTTTCAGATTAAAAAGTATAAAGGACTTTTTTTCTTGACGCTACAGCCAATAAAGTAACACGCCGGATCGCCTTTTCTATTTTTGTCACAGATTAGGAAGACTGTGGAAACCCCAACTGGTCTCTGAACCGGGTCTAGGTCTGATGCTACAGTGAAGCAAGCCGGCGTGCGCCGCTAACGGTGGTTCTATCCGGACCAGAGAGGTTCTCAACACTTGGTTAGTATAGAATTTTACTGACATCCATGACTTGGTGTCGCCAATGTGTCAAGATCTGCACATTTGCTATCCATTAAGAACCGTATGCTGTTTTTACTAATATGTCAATGTCTTTTATCTACACGTAGAGATTAACTAGTGGACATTGTTATTATAAATTGTACGGCTTCAGGTTAGAAAGTCGTGTTACGTAAATGCAGCTGAACTAGGCCACGTCTTTTATGAATTATGTAACTTGCCTATGCTTCAGACCTTGCCAGGCAACGCAAAATTTATGATAGCCGCATTATCCTCATTGCTTACCGTGTTCTAATGGCTATCAACGGAGTAAGGCTGTGTGTAACAATATAGCCTCCATCGTTGTCTGCATACTAGCCTAGTATTTTTTCCATCATAAGAAATGACTTTACAGAGACTTTTTAAAAAGTTTTGACGAATAAAAACGACCACAGCCCTCAGGAATGGTCTATATTTGCAAGAGTGTGGTAGAACGTCCTTGATCTTTGTAAGACAAAAAAGCAATCCGGCTTTCTTAAACGCAAAAAGCACTTTGTAACCGTCTCTAGTGTCACAATAAGAGGCACGGCCATGTTTAATTATATCTCCAGGGAGTTTTAGCACCAACTTAGTGCGGGTTTCATCCGTCAAAAAGTGCATATCTGTCACTATGGCGCCAAGTGTGGATACACAAATTCATCATTAGTGAGAAAAACATATATTGGGTAGACACGAAGATATTTCACCATGTTCTGCTTTATTCATTTTTCCTAAGTATTAATTTTATGTCCATACGTTTGCCAAGAGGGGGTCCCTAATTGGCCCAGATGTGGTTGTTCTTGCAACAGACGTCCAATCCGCCCAATTGTGAGTTAGAAGAGCACTTACGAGTAGGTCCCAACCCATTACAGCAAACGCCTTGTTTTCCAAAGACTTAAGCTTGCTTTCTCTCTCTATACAAAGTTTTCAAAGTCTCTGGCTTTGTCCTCTCTCAGTGTGAATCACCGAAGCGAGATAGAAAGGTTGTTGAGCCCAGGAGGGGCCACCGCGGATCAATAGTACTCAGTCGGTAGTGCCCTACAGGTCGCTAATCTACACAAGGGACCACGAGTTGTTGCTCACAACCCTGAAGTTGCAGGTTTGCCTTGACGTGATGTATGTTCTTGTATCGGTGTCTTGATAGCAAAGTTTCAAAATCCTTGCCCCAAAACATCTCAGTATACAAGGGACGGCTCCACTCTCTATTCCTGTACAAGAATAACTTGGGCCACGCAGTACAACAATATGTGGCTAGTTTATAGCTACTAGTTTAGTGCAGTAGTAGTGGTGTATGTTTAAAACCTTCTGTTTTAAGTGAGCAATTAATATAAACGTACGACACTGGAGTACTTGAAGGTACTTGAACAAGTATATTCCTTTTATGGGGTAAAAGATGTATACTTTTCACGTTTTAGTTTTCTCTTTATGTTGTATCTAGCAACAACAAGAAATGTTACAGTACCAGTTGCTGAAACTTTCTGTTGACAAGTGTTTGATGTTACATCAGTTCACTGATCTTTGAAGAAGAGTACAAAACAGGGCTCCGATATGTTGAGCAAACGGTTTCTCATTCTCTCTGCTGTCAAACAACCATGTAGGGCAAACACAGTGACAGTCACATCAACGGGCAAGATAGAAGTTTTGACAACAGGTCTTCAAGTAAAGAAGACAATACAGATCCTGACGGTGTATAGACTACGCTTCGGCAGTAGCCAAACATCAACAGTAAAGCACGTCATTGGATGTTGTGTGTCAATACCTTAATTTAAAATTTGACGGCTAGCGTAACCGTCAAGCATCAAATCAGCAAAAAGTTTGGCGCCATTGGCTGTATATAGTAAAAATGACAGATATTGAGTACTAGGGCAAAACGTTGTCGACTACATTTTAACCTCAGTGGAGACGTTTGTACTTTTAGTTAGTAACTGTGTACCTCGTCTCCTGAAATTATTTATACAATTTGCTTTTGGGTAGATTTTCCTTTTGGAAAAGTGGTAAATTTACAGACTGGCAGGTCTATTTTAATCAAACTAGGCCATTGGCATGTGCAATTTTCTGTAACTAAATCGTTACTGACAGACTAGTGTGGAGTATATGAGGCCCGGTTGACCTCCCTGTCAGAGTGTTTGCATGTAAAGATACAATAAGCAAACAGCCCTTGACAGCTCCGAATGTCCCTACTAATCGTTCAGAACCACAGGTAAAACTATTGCTGAGGTGTGCAGATTTCAAATGGATTTTATAATTATTATAGTAGTCACTGAAATGCTGGTTAGATAGAGGTATTAAGAGGGACCTTTTTCGGGGACAGTTGCTAGTACACTGTACAGCTGTGTCTAGGCCACGATATTGGAAGGTGGAGCCCATCCCATTCCTTCCACCTCCCATTTCTCCGTTATCAAAGTCAGGTACCCATTTTACACCTGGGTGGGATGGAAGAAGTCGTGTGATAAATTGCTTTTCCCAAGGACACAACGTCTAGCCAGGAATCGAACCCTTGACTTTTCGATTCTATCAGTATACCTTCAGTATACTTTATACCTTCCCATCCGAAGCCAGGTTCCGTTCCCATTTACACCTGGATAAAGTGAGGAAATTCGTGGACACAACATTTATAAGTCAAAAAGAACAGAAACCGAATTCTTGGATTTCCGGTTCTCTATCCTAACCACTAAGCCATAGACAACCACTGTGAATGTGTATGATGAGTGGAAGCCAAATATGCCGATGTGGCAATCAGCCACCCATCCTACCTAGTCGCGTGGCATTAAAATGTGACGACCGGTAATAGGGCAGTTTAGTCAATTAATTTGCACGTGCCTGCCCATAGTGTCTAGCCTGGTATCCAGACTATCGTGGTTTGGGGCAGGCTGTCTTCGGGGCTCTCTCCAGCAGACCAACTCCCCTGGCATGCTATCTCTCTCTATTTGGCCGATTTCTACTCTTTCCAGCCGCCTCCCAAAGTCTGGTAGAGGCTAGCAATCAGCCACCCATTCTAGCTAGTCGCGTGGCGTTGAAATGTGACGACCGGTAATAGGGCGGTTTATTCAGTCAATTTGCACGTGATTTTTTCGAGGGTTGCGGAGCGAAAATCCGGATGGTACCCAGGCTACTAATGTCCGCTACAAGAGTATCTGCCGCCCAAACCCAGGCTGTCCAAACCCTTTTATCTTTTACGAGATAATTTATAATTAAAGCCAGGGTGCCAAATCGGGGTTCGGGCGTGTGGCTTCTCTGGCTGAAGGGGTTAACACTATACTCGCGTTAGGGCCTGGCACCCAGGCTAGGATAGACTGGACAAGAGACTACACGGTGTCTGGAAATCCAGGCTACAAAGTGTCTGGATTTCCAGGATTTCCAGGCTACAAAGTGTCAGGAAATCCAGGCTACACAGTGTTGTCTGAAAATCCATCCGTCGTGTGAAGTGTTTGCGCAGACGGCTTTATTTGACATCCCATCTGGTAAACCAACAACAAAACCGTCCCAGATACCAGTTCCGAGAAGAATTAGGGATTGATTTGCTGACTGTGCGAGATAAGATACTAGTAGCGCTGCGCACGTGGGTCAAATCGTTTTGTTACCTGGAGAGAACGAATTGGGGTCGAAAGGTCAAGCAGTCACACAATGTTATCGCCATATAACCCATAAATCACCAACAGGTTTGGTAAGCACGTCGGCAGAACGTACCTTGCCTGTAATCTCTAAGCAGATCTTTTGGTGGGGGTAAGACAGTATCAAACTGGCCAGTCTGTAACCATGGTAGAGACAAAAAAAGGGCCATATATAAAAAGCAAACGATCTTCGACCATCAACCTCTGCTTGGAGAGTACCTTGCCTGCGCAAAACCTTTATTTTTCACGGTTTTCGTTGGATTTTTGGTCACCGTCGCATTAGAAGTTTTCCTGTTGAAGAAGATATATTTTCTGACATAACATTTGGAAACTACGGGCAGGATGTTAATCTTATATACGCGAATACAACCTTGCATGAGATGTTCTGCTGAAGTGCTATGTACAATACATTACGGGTTTCGCGCTGGTACTGGTTCGGTAGGCCCAGTGTTCAAAACACGGAATCAGGATTTGAAATCGCATTTTACCACTCCACCTGGGCATATCGTGGTCTTGATTTTCAAGTGGCAGATGTAGTTTTTGGTTGGGACGATATGGTATGGGTTTGGGTCCCCTAGAAGCTTGCTTCGGGAACTACAGGGACGTTTTATCGGGAATGTTGGAAGTGAATTCCTCTAAAAAAAGACGACTTGATTTTGCAGAATTAGGACATGTACACGAAGGTAGATTAGGTGAACTAGAAACTTGAATTTAGTTTTCACTCCCAATCTTCCTGATCTAATCCTAACCTAACCTACCATAAAGTATTTACACTCTCAGAGAAAACAGGATTTGGCGTACAAAAGTGAAAACTTGATTGTGCTGCC